GGTCGCGGTTTGCGTCAGCGTCCTCCTCCTGTCCCTGGCACGCACCGGATGTCTCTGCGTCCGTCCATTGCTCCTCTGCGTGCCCCTTTGCCTTCTCCTCCTGCTTCCTCTCTTCCTGCTCTTGCCGACCCGGAGTCGGACTCTCTTCGTGCTGCCAGTCCCACTGTCACGCGTCTCCTTGCTACTGCTATCACTGACCCTTCCTTCGAGTCTTCTGCTGCGTCTACCCCTGTCACTGAGCTTGTCGACTTTGCTGCGCGCTGTCGTCTAGACTACGCTGCTAGTCTTGTCGCTGAGTCTGAGTCTGCCTGTCCTCCGTCCGTCGAGGGTGAGTGTGCCCTAGGCACGGACGTCCTTGAGGACAGGTAGGAGGAGTTCCAGTGTCTAGCCGCCGCTTCACCTCATCTCACGTCTGTACTGCTCGCCCCTGAGGGAGACCCGGATGCACTAGACATCCCGACTCCGCGCTCTTACGTGGAGGCGATAGAGGGTCCCTACTCCTCTCAGTGGCAGGCAGCTATGGATGCAGAGATGGCTTCCTGGAAGTCCACAGGCACCTACGTTGACGCTGTTCCCCCTCCTGGGGCGACCATCGTCAGTGGCATGTGGATCTTCAGGGTGAAGCGGCCGCCGGGCCCTCCGCCTGTCTTCAAGGCGCGTTACGTGGCTCGTGGCTTCAGTTAGCGGCAGGGAGTTGACTACTTTCAAACCTTCTCCCCCACCCCGAAGATGACCACTCTTCGGGTACTGCTGCACGTTGCTGCTCACCGCGACTACGAGCTGCACTCTCTCGACTTCAGCACAGCTTTCTTGTAGGGCAGCCTGCACGAGGAGATCTGGCTGCGTCGCCCACCTGGCTTCACTGGGTCTTTCCCTCCTGGTACCCAGTGGAGTCTCCGGCGTCCACTCTACGGTCTCCGCCAGGCGCCACGTGAGTGGCACGACACACTGAGGACTACGCTGGCGGCACTTGGGTTTGCTCCTTCTACTGCCGACCCGTCGCTGTTTCTGCGCACCGACACCTCTCTGCCGCCGTTCTACATCCTCGTGTACGTCGACGACTTGGTCTTTGCCACAGCTGACACTACTGGACTCGCCTACGTGAAGTCCGAGCTGCAGAAGAGACACACGTGCACTGACCTGGGTGAACTGCGCAGCTACCTTGGCTTGCAGATCACCCAGGACAGAGCACGCCGCACCATTACCCTGACTCAGTCACACATGGTGCAGCAGGTCCTTCAGCGCTTCGGCTTCACGTACTCCTCGCCTCAGGCCACTCCTCTGCCTACTCGCCACTCCTCTGCCTACTTGCCACTCGCTCTCAGCTATGCCTTCGGATGAGTCCGTAGAGTTGAGTGGCCCGTATGCAGAGCTTGTTGGCTGCCTCATGTACGTGATGACCTGCACACGACCTGACCTTGCATACCCTCTCAGCATTCTCGCACGCTATGTTGCTCCTGGGAGACACCGACCAGAGCACATAGCTGCAGCGAAGAGGGTGTTGCGCTACTTGTGCAGTACGTCCGGCATGGGGCTAGTGCTTGGAGGGCGCAGTTCAGTGGTCGTCACTGGGCACGCGGACGCTTCTTGGGCTGACGACCAGGCTACGCAGCGGTCGTCACAGGGTTACTCCTTCGGCCTTGGTTCCGGCTCTGTTTCGTGGCGGGCTACTCGCTCGTCTTCTGTTCTCGGCTCCAGTTGTGAGGCTGAGATCTACGCCGGGGCTATGGCTGCTCAGGAGCTTCGCTGGCTCACCTACCTGCTGACCGACCTTGGAGAGCCGCCTCGTTCTCCTCCAGTCCTGTACGTAGACAACAAGGCCATGCAGGCCTTGTGTCGAGAGCAGCGACTGGAGCACAGGACAAAGCACATTGCTCTCCGCTACTTTCTTGCTCGTGAGCTACAGCAGCGTGGACAATTGCGACTTGCGTACGTGGCCTCTGAGGCCAACACTGCTGATGTCTTCACCAAGGCACTTGCGCCTTGTGATCATCAGCGTTGCTGCACGCAGCTAGGTCTTGTGTCTATCTTGCCTCACTTACTCACTTCTTGACCTTGCTTGTACCTTGACCTATATATACTCTTGCTCTTGTTTCCTTGACTCTTGTATATCTCTATATATGATCTTGCATGTGAACTGGCCTTGTGGCCCTTGAACTTGTGCTCGGAATGTGTGGTGACTTTGTGATCCACCCTGAGCTTTGCTTTGCTTTGTTTGACTGGTCTTGTGACCCCTTGTTCTCCCCCACTTTGCCTATGGGGGTGTGTCAGAACATTATAGCTTACTTATTTGTGTAGGCCATAGTGGGGTATCCCATAGGGGGTACAACCCACTTAGGGTTTCATATTTGTACTCACTTCATTCATAGTTCACTCATTTCTCGTTCTTTCTTTCACAGGGGACACCTCGTTCGAAGCCCCGCGCGATGTCCCTACCCGCGGACGCCGTCAGGCCGACCGGGTTGCCTCATCCCGCATCAACGACGATGCTGCCTTCGATGACGATGATGACGCCGCGGACTCCGATTACAACGAGTGCGACGAGGCCTGCGAAGACGACGCGGACTCTGGTGAGGAGCAGGACAAGGGCATGTCCCCCTCCGACGATGAAGTTGACGCCGACGAGGACGTCGATGTCGACGAGGTCGCTCCCGAAGAGGCCTAGCCTGCGTCTCTGGCTCTTCGTCGCGGCCGTGCGTCTGCCGCTGCGGGAACCAAGACTGCTGCTAAGGGCGGGGAACCTCCGCGTGCCGCTGCCAAGACCCGTAACTTGCATCCTGTTAAGCGGAACGTGTGGTCCCCCCGTGAGAACACAATCTTCGTGGCTGCGCGCTGGTTCATGAAGGACGAGCTCGGGCCCCTCCTCGGGAAGCAGGGCTCTCAGTAGTGGGCCCGCCTCGCGCGTCACTTGGAGAAAGAGAATCCCGGTTGGGTGCGTGGGGTAAACGCGTTTCAGAAGCAGTGGCGCAATCTTGTGAACATGTACAAGCAGATCCAGAAGGGGGAAAAGGCGAGCGGCAAGGGAGCCGTGTGCAAGCCCCCCTAGTACCCGTACATGGTGCTTTTCCAGAACAACAAGGCGGTGGACAACCCTCACGCCGTCGACGGTGGCGGTGCGGCACACGTCAACGTGCCGTGCGGGTACGAGGTCCCGTCCACTTCGGCGCCCTGCAACTCTACGCCGACATTCACTGGTATTCAAGTTTGCCCACGATGCATTGACGCGCCTTACTGCGCCCATCATTTCGCACATGTTGTGCAGGATGACGCCACAAGACGCCCCTGCAAGAATGCGCCAGAGCTTGCAGTCATTGCGGCCCGCGAATAGACGCCACCGGCCTTTGAAGGCGCCGATGCAGCGCTCTACTGCCATGCGAGTTGCGCTTTGGCAATAGTTAAAGCATTGCTCCCAGTCCTCCATTAGGCCGTCACGAGGAGCATGTAGGGGGGTCAGGCATAAGTCCCTGAGTGGGTAGGCAGCATCTCCCACTGTTTGGTATGGCGCTATGTCACCGTTGTGCAACCTTTCGTGTAACGCGCTGTTCATGAACACTCTCTGATCGTGCGCACTGCCCGGGTATCCGATCAAATAGTCCCATATGATGCCTCGCGCGTCGCATGTGATCTGCAACTGGACGGCGTAACAGGACTTCCGCGTGTAGTACTCTTGCATGTGCCCCTCCATCCCCTTCATGGGTATGTGTGTGCCGTCTATAGCCCCCACTACCGCAGGTACCCCCTTGATGGCGCGGAACTCTGCGGCCATCTCGTCGAGGTCGTCGCGGGTCGGAAAGTGGACCCACTCATGCTTGAAGACGGACGGGAAATGCATGAGGAGCGCGTCAACAAGCATGTGGCAGAGGGTCTTGGACAGCCCGAATGCGGAGGACAAGTCTACGAAAGACATGCCACTTGCGAGGTATTTGATAGGTACAAGGCATGCCACTTCATGACTGATTAGGTACCTGTCCACGTACGGTTGCATGTAGTGCGTCATCCCGGCGACAATGTATTCGAGAATGCCACGGTTTATACGAAACATATCTCTGAACTGATCCTCCCCCATGCCGTCCAGGTCCTCTAGCAACAACTGGTATCTCCGCCGGCGTAGCCCAGCCCTTCGTTTCCGCTCTGCAGTACGGTTGGAGGCGCGAGAGCTGGATGACGATGACACCTCGTCATTGAAGACGTTCGCCTCCAGCAAGCCACCGACCGACTTGGCGATGGCGTCCATGAATATGCTGTAGTAGAACGTAACCCATGCGACAAGTAGGCGCATGAGGAAAGGCACCTCGCGGGGCGATGCCATGGTTGCTAGATAGTGGTGCAGTTTAGCTACGTCATGCTTCCGGTTTTGTACTTGGAGCCGTGGTTGTATACATGCTGTTGTGAGTGGGGTGGCCCAAATTGCAACTTTCACTTCTGTGGCAAGCACACCGCGATACTCGAGGTGGTGCGCTGTGTTTAGCCCCCCTGCCCGGCGGGAAAACTGGGTGGGCACAATCATATTGGTCGCAACCAATAGTACGCACCCACCTGGCTGTGCCCATCTGTCGCGCAGGGTCGCGGTACATTGGTTGTTTGTGACATAACATTTGGCAAATTTACAGGCGCGACTCGGGAAAACGGGGATTGAGACACAAGTGTCCCTGCAGGAATGTACCCTAATCATAAGTTTTTAAAAATACCCTGCCCAAACAGACTGTTTTTGTACCCTGCATTTGTCAGGGAAACAAAAATTTTACCCTACGCATCAGGGTTGACTATACCTAGAACCCTGATTACTAAGGGTGGCCCAAAACGAATCTGAAGCCCTGCCCTTGAGGTGTGGGGTGGGGAGCTAGAGTGCATGAATGGGGTGCGCTGTGGCCTCCAGCCAGCAAAGCCAGAGCGGGCAGGCGCGGAGGTGTGACGCTTTGAAGTCTCTTGCAATGCACCACCTCGTTCAAATCGCTCCTTCCCGTGCCATGAAGTTGTGTTAGGATGTAATCTTCGGGCCTTTACACTAGGAGGGGAGGGGGGAGGGGGGGAGAAGGCAAGGAGTCACGGGCAGAGCAGGGTGCATGAGGAGACGGTCCATTCGGGCGAAAAGGGAGGCAGGGGTTGGTGAGATGAGAGAGGAGAGCGTGGAGGATGAGGGGGAAGTGAAGGAGAGGGGAAGGGCGCATACAGAGGAGATTGATGAAGGTGGCAGTGAGGGCAGTGGGAGAGAGGAAGGGAGCGGGTGGCAGAGGCATGGTGAGAGGATTATGAGAGAGGCATGGTGAGAGGATTATGAGAGAGGCATGGTGAGAGGATTATGAGAGAGGCATGGGAATGAACGGGTGGGAGCAAAGCGAGGTCACGCCGACAGGCGGCCACACCGATAGGGGGCGACGCCGATAGGGGGCGAGGTCGATAGGGGGGGAGGTCGATAGGGGGCTCACCTGCGTTGGACTCACCTGCGTTGGACTCACCTGCGTTGGACTCACCTGCGTTGGACTCACCTGCGTTGGACTCACCTGCGATGGACTCACCTGCGTTGGACTCACCTGCGTGGGACTCACCTGCGTTGGACTCACCTGCCTTGGACTCACCTACACAGGACGTGCCATGACGGCATGGAGGGCGCGGGTCACGAGGAGGGTTGCGATCGCTTGTGGTCGCGCGCCAGCTTGGAGAGCAGGCGCAGCTTGCCCGCCGTCTCCGCACTGCCGGGGCTCCTCTCCGCCGCCTCCCTGAACGCCTCCAACGCCTGCCACCGCGCAGCACAGCAGGACAGTGCAGCACAGCACGGCAGCATGCCACCACACACATACTCGTCACCCCGGCAGCACCCAACTTAGAAATTCGAGATTGAATGAACAAGTGAGGGCAGGCGAGGGCAGGCGAGGGCAGGCGAGGGCAGGCGAGGGCAGGCGAGGGCAGGCGAGGGCAGGTGAGGGCAGGTGAGGGCAGGTGAGGGCAGGTGAGGGCAGGTGAGGGCAGGTGAGGACAGGTGAGGGCAGGTGAGGGCGGCTGACCTCGTCGTAGCGCTTCATGGCCTCCAACGCACAGCCCTTGCGGTAGTAGCCCTGCGACGATCCAGGCACACGCCACACCACCACATCACACCACACCACCACATCCCACCACACCACCACATCCCACCACACCACCACATCCCACCACACCACCACGCCACCACGCCACCACGCCACCACGCACATCGCAACGCACGCGAGAGCGCGCGTGAGTGAGTTTCCAATTGCGGGCGGCAGAAGCGGAAGCGAAACCCCGTGGATCCCCGCGAGTTCCGCGACGGCTCACCTTCTCCCACGCGGGGTTGAGGCGGATGGCGGCCTCCGCGTCCGCCAGCGCCTTGGTGAGCTTCGACAGCTGCAGGAACGCCGCCGACCGATTGCTGCGCGCCGCACGTGCAGTCAGCCACGGCCGCCGCGCCAAATACGGAATAACAAAAAAACGCGGAAATTGAAACGAAATGCGCGCGGCGCGGTTACCTGTAGAGCGCGTGGTTGTCAGGCGCCTCTTTAATGGCCTGCGTGTAGAGCGCCGCCGCCTTGAGGAAGTTCTTCGCCTTAAACTCCGCGTTGCCGCGCTCCTTCAAACCCGCCTCGCCTTGCGCCTCGCTCGAGCCCGGATCCGCCATCGCTGCGATCGGCACGCAGAGGCACCACAACGGATGGATCTGTGGCGATGGGAGCGACGGTGAGTCGTCGCTGCAGTGATCGGGATCTCGCCGTGCTTCGCTCTCCCGCTAACTGGTGCATAAGTGAAGTCGAGTTGAGTCGCTCGTTCACATGGAGAATCCTGCTGCTGATTTAGTGCTGCTGGGCACATATGGAGGAATGTACGCGCTAGAGATGTACCTTCCAAACGAACAGTAGATATTCAGGTTCCAAGTTTGTATTGATGGTGATAATGTTCGTCATTCAAACATGATGGAATGTTCTCGAGTGTGAAGTCTCATCATGTTTGTGGCTGTACGGGAAATGGTCTCCGAGCGCTAACGGGGACCTCTTTGGGCGAGGGGAATGGTGGTATTGACGGCCAGATGTTCACCCGACTGACTCGTGTAGATGAAACGACTGGGAGATCCCATGCCAGGTGGCGCCCTATTAGCAGCTTCAGATGAGATGCAGAAGGCGATGCCACGTCACATGCATTCACCTCGATCTGATCTGAAACTGGCCGAATGATCGCACTTAATCATCACCTCCCTCGCTCGCGAACGATTCTCGAGTTTCCTCCAGCGCGCGCTTCGGGATCAGATTCCACGGCGATAGCCAGCAGCCAGTCGTGCGTGCGGTAGCGACGGGAGTAGTCGCAGAGGCGGATTAGTTTCGTCTGCACAAGCCACACCTATACGCCCGACATTTCGGACGCGGATTAGTTTCTTGGCGCGGCCCTCCTCGTCCCTCGTCCTCCCCCGCTGAGCTTCGCCCGTCCTCGGGGTTGTCGCGGGCGCCGATCGCGAGTCTGAGCACGCTGCGCCGCGCAGAGCTCGCGAGGCATGGAGGCCCTCGCCTCGTCGCACGCTGTGTCGCACACAGCGTCGCCACGCTCTTTGCCGACGACCGTCGCAAGATGTCTGTCGCCAAGCCACGTGGCGAGCTTCAACGGTTCCGTCTCGCGTTCACTCGCGGTACGTGTTGCGCACACGACGCGTGGCGCCGCGGCCATCGGTCCGGCCATGGCATTTTGGAGGGCCGGAAAGAACACTGCAGACGCGTATGGAGGGTGGGAGTGGGCGCAGAGGAAACGCGCAAGAAGAATGCGTGTGATGCTGGTAATGCACTCGAGACTATCACCGGGCGACGCTTCAATTCGCGCTAAGGAAAAAGAGACTGGCGATGTTTTGTCCTCGAGTTACACCATTTCGCGTACTAATTCGCCCAGTTTCGCACGAACGCCGCCAGCTCGCCACCCGTCAACGTCGCCGCCACGCCGCGCCAAGCCGCGATTTCGCGCTGCGAGCGTGAGTCGTGAGTCGCGTGCGTGATCTAAATGTGGCAGGACTCGAATCCCCCGTCTGTTCTCCCGTGTGCCCTCCATCTGCACTCCCTTCTCCCCTCACCAGAATCAATCCCATAATCGCCCACGCGCCGCCCCACCCCAACGCGTCTCCCTCTCCTCCTTCCCTCGCTGCCCCCGCCGCCCCTCCGCCTTCCCCCGCCGCCACGCAGTCCGCAGCCTCAAAGACGCCGCCGCCTCCTCCCCCTCCGCCATCCCCGCCCCTTCCCTGCCCTCGCTGCCGTCGCTCCCGTCCACCCACCCCGCGCCTCCACAAGTCATTCCCCTGAAGGACATCCCCGCGTTCGTGGCGCGCAGCCCGCTGCTGCAGCGCGCGGGGCTGGCGCAGGCGGACGTGCAGCGCGACGCCGCGGCGTGGGGCGCGCTGGGGGGCGAGCTGGCGCTGCAGCTGGGGTTCGTGGGGGGGCAGGGGGAGGGGAAGGCGCAGCTGGAGGAGGCGCAGCTGCGGCGCATCTTCCAGTACTACCTGCCGGTGTTCTCGTGGTGCTGGCGCCAGCTGCTGCACCATCGACGCCACGCGCAGGGCGGCAAGGCGGCACCCACTCAGGCGCCGCCCCTCGTGGTGGGTGGGCGTGAGGTCGAATGCGGCAGGGGGTAGGGCGAATGTGGCATGCGCGGGTGTAATGATTGGTGTGAGGATGACGGAGAGAATGCGAGAGGACGAAGGGGGAAGAGATAAAGAGAGCAAAGGAAGGGGCAGGGAGGGAAAGCAGATGTTTGGGAGTCACTCCTTTGCATGCTGTTGTGAGTTAAGGGAAACGTAAGGAGGGGCTGAAAGGATGCGAGAGTATTTCTGCAAGCCGGTGCGGTACTAACGACTAGTGGATTTGGTGATGTTAAGTCTGGTATGAAATGGTTGGTGTTACATAGTCTTATGTTTGGTACTAAGCATAAACGTGTTATTCAACCTTATGCCTGGTGCTATTCCAAAACGTGTTTCTTAGCCATGTCTGTTTATAACCATAAATGTGCTACCATACATTGGTACAAACTCTTGTGCACTACTTCACCTTATGTCTTTATCTGCCATGTCCCCAACCTCCCGAACCTCCCCATGCTACCATGCTCCCCATGCTACCATGCTCCCCATGCTACCATGCTCCCCATGCTACCATGCCCCCATGCTCCCCATGCTACCATGCTCCCCATGCTACCATGCTCCCCATGCTACCATGCTCCCCATGCTACCATGCTCGCCATGCTACCATGCCCCCATGCTCCCCATGCCCCCATGCCCCCATGCATGGCATCAGATCGGAATCAGCGCCCCCCAGGGGTGTGGCAAGACAACGGTGGTGGAGTCCCTCGAGCACCTCTTTGCCGTCACTCACTGGTGCGTGCCGCCCTGCTTGCTGCACTGCTTGCTGCACTGCTTGCTGCACTGCTTGCTGCACTGCTTGCTGCACTGCTTGCCGTCGTGCTTGCCGCCTAGGTGGGAGAGTTAGTGAAACCTAATCGTTGACTAACTCTGGCAGGGAAATGTGCGTGCCAGGGTTAGTTGATCGATCCACGTACTTTGGGTTGGGTTTGCTAGATTAAGAGGGGTGAAGTGCAGTAGAAAGAAAATTTGCATGGACAATTTGTGGATCTGGTTCTGTTTTGGCGAGATTGAACCAGATTCATTCCGAAATAAAATTTACGCTAACATCGCAAATGTCAATTTCGTCATGATTTTTTTTTTTTTTTCATTGGGCTGCTCGAAAAATTCCCAGGCGAGGGTATAGCGTCCGGCGTACGGACGCTAGCATATATACGCTAGGCGCTCGCCATCCAGAACGTATATGCCCACTTAGGCGGCAAGTAGTGCAGCAAGCAGGGCAGCAAGCAGTGCAGCAAGCAGGGCAGCAAGCAGTGCAGCAAGCAGGGCAGCAAGCAGTGCAGCAAGCAGTGGGCACAATGGAGTCACCTCAGGTCTTGGTTGCACGTCTGGCTCTCTCCTTCATGCTCACTATGTGCCCCACTGCATCTGTGCTCTCATTCTGTGCCTCACATGATCTCTCACATCCTCCTCTCTGCCCTTTCGACCCCCTTTGCCCTTACGCCCGGGGGGGCAGCACGGCAGCAACGGTGTCAATCGATGATTTCTACCTCACCGCACAGCAGCAGGTGCACCCCACGCCCTCCCTCCTTGCCTTGTCATTTTTGAAGCGACAGCTCTGCCGTGCACTTGTTGCAGCTGTCACATCACTCCGCCCACTTCTTGGCAGATGCATGCTTCTCATGCCGCTCATGCCCCTCATGCCGCTCATGCCCCTCATGCCCCTCATGCCCCTCATGCCCCTCATGCCCCTCATGCCCCTCATGCCCCTCATGCCCCTCATGCTGCTCATGCTGCTCATGCCCCTCATGCCCCTCATGCCGCTCATGCCCCTCATGCCCCTCATGCCCCTCATGCCCCTCATGCCCCTCATGCCCCTCATGCCCCTCATGCCGCTCATGCCCCTCATGCCCCTCATGCCGCTCATGCCCCTCATGCCCCTCATGCCCCTCATGCCTCTCATGCCCCTCATGCCCCTCATGCCCCTCATGCCCCTCATGCCTCTCATGCCGCTCATGCCGCTCATGCCCCTCATGCCGCTCATGCCGCTCATGCCCCTCATGCCCCTCATGCCGCTCATGCCCCTCATGCCCCTCATGCCGCTCATGCCCCCCATGCCCCTCATGCCCCTCATGCCGCTCATGCCCCTCATGCCCCTCATGCCCCTCATGCCCCTCATGCCCCTCATGCCGCTCATGCCCCTTATGCCCCTCATGCCGCTCATGCCCCTCATGCCCCTCATGCCGCTCATGCCACTCATTCCCCTCATGCCCCTCATGCCGCTCATGCCGCTCATGCCCCTCATGCCCCTCATGCCCCTCATGCCGCTCATGCCGCTCATGCCCCTCATGCCCCTCATGCCCCTCATGCCCCTCATGCCCCTCATGCCGCTCATGCCCCTCATGCCCCTCATGCTGCTCATGCCCCCCATGCCCCTCATGCCCCTCATGCCGCTCATGCCCCTCATGCCCCTCATGCCCCTCATGCCCCTCATGCCGCTCATGCCCCTCACGCCCCTCATGCCCCTCATGCCTCTCATGCCCCTCATGCCCCTCATGCCCCTCATGCCCCTCATGCCCCTCATGCCCCTCATGCCTCTCATGCCGCTCATGCCGCTCATGCCCCTCATGCCGCTCATGCCGCTCATGCCCCTCATGCCCCTCATGCCGCTCATGCCCCTCATGCCCCTCATGCCGCTCATGCCCCCCATGCCCCTCATGCCCCTCATGCCGCTCATGCCCCTCATGCCCCTCATGCCCCTCATGCCCCTCATGCCCCTCATGCCGCTCATGCCCCTCATGCCCCTCATGCCTCTCATGCCCCTTATGCCCCTCATGCCGCTCATGCCCCTCATGCCCCTCATGCCGCTCATGCCACTCATTCCCCTCATGCCCCTCATGCCGCTCATGCCGCTCATGCCCCTCATGCCCCTCATGCCCCTCATGCCCCTCATGCCCCTCATGCCCCTCATGCCCCTCATGCCCCTCATGCCCCTCATGCCCCTCATGCCCCTCATGCCGCTCATGCCCCTCATGCCCCTCATGCTGCTCATGCCCCCCATGCCCCTCATGCCCCTCATGCCGCTCATGCCCCTCATGCCCCTCATGCCCCTCATGCCCCTCATGCCGCTCATGCCCCTCACGCCCCTCATGCCCCTCATGCCTCTCATGCCCCTCATGCCCCTCATGCCCCTCATGCCGCTCATGCCCCTCATGCCCCTCATGCCCCTCATGCCGCTCATGCCGCTCATGCCCCTCATGCCCCTCATGCCCCTCATGCCCCTCATGCCCCTCATGCCCCTCATGCCCCTCATGCCCCTCATGCCACTCATGCCCCTCATGCCGCTCATGCCCCTCATGCCCCTCATGCCCCTCATGCCCCTCATGCCCCTCATGCCTCTCATGCCCCTCATGCCCCTCATGCCCCTCATGCCGCTCATGCCGCTCATGCCCCTCATGCCCCTCATGCCCCTCATGCCGCTCATGCCGCTCATGCCCCTCATGCCCCTCATGCCGCTCATGCCGCTCATGCCCCTCATGCCGCTCATGCCCCTCATGCCCCTCATGCCGCTCATGCCCCCCATGCCCCTCATGCCCCTCATGCCTCTCATGCCCCTCATGCCCCTCATGCCCCTCATGCCCCTCATGCCCCTCATGCCCCTCATGCCCCTCATGCCCCTCATGCCCCTCATGCCGCTCATGCCACTCATTCCCCTCATGCCCCTCATGCCGCTCATGCCACTCATTCCCCTCATGCCCCTCATGCCCCTCATGCCGCTCATGCCCCTCATGCCCCTCATGCCCCTCATGCCGCTCATGCCCCACATGCCCCTCATGCCCCTCATGCCCCTTATGCCTCTCATGCCTCTCATGCCGCTCATGCCCCTCATGCCGCTCATGCCGCTCATGCCCCTCATGCCCCTCATGCCGCTCATGCCCCTCATGCCGCTCATGCCGCTCATGCCCCTCATGCCCCTCATGCCGCTCATGCCCCTCATGCCCCTCATGCCGCTCATGCCCCTCATGCCCCTCATGCCGCTCATGCCCCTCATGCCCCTCATGCCCCTCATGCCCCTCATGCCCCTCATGCCCCTCATGCCGCTCGTGTCCCTCATGCCCCTCATGCCGCTCATGCCCCTCATGCCCCTCATGCCCCTCATGCCCCTCATGCCGCTCATGCCGCTCATGCCCCTCATGCCCCTCATGCCCCTCATGCCCCTCATGCCCCTCATGCCCCTCATGCCCCTCATGCCCCTCATGCCCCTCATGCCCCTCATGCCCCTCATGCCCCTCATGCCCCTCATGCCGCTCATGCCCCTCATGCCCCTCATGCCCCTCATGCCCCTCATGCCCCTCGTGCCTCTCATGCCCCTCATGCCCCTCATGCCCCTCATGCCCCTCATACCCCTCATGCCCCTCATGCCCCTCATGCCGCTCATGCCCCTCATGCCCCTCATGCCTCTCATGCCCCTCATGCCGCTCATGCCCCTCACGCCCCTCATGCCCCTCATGCCTCTCATGCCCCTCATGCCCCTCATGCCCCACATGCCGCTCATGCCCCTCATGCCCCTCATGCCCCTCATGCCGCTCATGCCGCTCATGCCCCTCATGCCCCTCATGCCCCTCATGCCCCTCATGCCCCTCATGCCCCTCATGCCCCTCATCCCACTCATGCCCCTCATGCCGCTCATGCCCCTCATGCCCCTCATGCCCCTCATGCCCCTCATGCCCCTCATGCCTCTCATGCCCCTCATGCCCCTCATGCCCCTCATGCCGCTCATGCCCCTCATGCCCCTCATGCCCCTCATGCCGCTCATGCCCCTCATGCCCCTCATGCCTCTCATGCCCCTCATGTTCCTCATGCCCCTCATGCCCCTCATGCCCCTCATGCCCCTCATGCCCCTCATGCCGCTCATGCCCCTCATGCCCCTCATGCCTCTCATGCCCCTTATGCCCCTCATGCCTCTCATGCCCCTCATGCCCCTCATGCCCCTCATGCCCCTCATGCCTCTCATCTCATGCCCCTCATGCCCCTCATGCCCGTCATGCCGCTCATGCCCCTCGTGCCCCTCATGCCCCTCATGCCCCTCATGCCTCTTATGCCCCTCATGCCCCTCATGCCCCTCATGCCCCTCATGCCGCTCATGCCTCTCATGCCCCGCATGTTCACATGTTCCTCACGAGGCATGGCCCTCATGCATACAGCATGCATGCAGCATGCCTCTCATTGTCCACAAAGAATTCCCAGCTACCTCTTCCATGCTCGCCCTTTCCACACCCACTATGCTTGCACACCCATGCGCACTGTCTTCTCACTCGTTTTCTGCCCCCCAGGCTGCACTGCGCGAGGCTCATCCCGCCAACCGCCTGCTTGAGGTGCCTCTCCCTCCCGCTCCACCACTCAACCCCTCCGCACCGCTCCCCTCCTGCCCTTAAACCCTCTCGCCATCTCTCTTTTTCTGTCCCTGAGCTGCGCCCCACCACTGCGCGTTGCCCCACCACTGCTTCCACTCCTCCTCCCCTGCCTCCTGCTGCTCTATTCCACCCCTGCCTCCTGCTGCTCTATTCCACCCCTGCCTCCTGCTGCTCTAATCCCCGCACCTCACTTTGCTGTTCTCGCTTGCACTGTACTCCTCGTTCTCCTGATCCTTCAACCAGTTTGCCTCTACCCCCGGTCCGCATCCGTCACCTGCCCTTGCGCCCCCACATGCACCCCACATGCACCCCACATGCACCCCACATGCACCCCACATGCACCCCACATGCACCCCGCTGGCACCACCACCACCACCACCACCGCCGCCGCCGCCGCCGCCGCCACCGGCGCCGTCGTGGTCGCCGTCGTCGTCATCATACCCTCCTGCCTGTGTCACCTCTCCCTTCAGCTGAGGGGCAACGCCGGCTCACACGACCTCGCTCTCGGCGTCTCCACACTCTCCGCACTCAAGAAGGCCTCAGCACCTGGTGAGGCACCTGGTGAGGCACCTGGTGAGTCAAGCACACAGTGGCACGAGAGCAGTTGGCACGAGAGCACATGAGTGGAGGTGGGGCGGGATGCCTGAGATCACCACAGGCGGTGGTGGGGGCGTGAGGGTGCAGTGGGGGTATATTGGGAAGGGGGTGATGTGAGAGGTATAGTGAGAACGAGGGTATAGGAGGGTAAGATGGGAAAGGGGCATGCGTGGATGGTTATGTGAAAACGCCTAAGGACATCGAAACATGCGTTGCATGCATGCCATGACTAGGGGCATGAACAAATGACTTGTGCATGCCTCTCCTCCCATGCACCCCCCCTCCATGGCCCCCAGGCACCAAGGTCCCTCTTCCACGCTACGACAAGGTGAGAGTCGCAGTACTGAGAATGGAATGAGTCAAAGTGTGATGCCCCTCCCTTGTTTGCCGCCCTCCCCCGTTTGCCGCCCTCCCCCGTTTGCTGCCCTCCCCCTTTTAATGCTTGTCTGCACCTTTCCCCTCCTCGAAGCACCGTGCCTGCCATGTCAATCCCCTCAGCCCGCTGCCAACCCCCCCCCGCCACCCATCAGTCGGCCTTCTCCGGGCGGGGCGACCGCAGCCCCGAGGCAGCGTGGGTGACAGTGGAGGGGCCGGTGGACGTGGTGCTCTTCGAGGGCTGGATGCTCGGCTTCCACGCGCTGCCCGCTCATGAGGCTGCTGCCATCGACCCTCAGGTGTGCGCAAGGGGGAAAGCACGGTTGTGACCGCGTGCTGTGCTGTGCTGTGCTATGCTGTGCTATGCTGTGCTATGTGTGCTGCTGTGCTGTGCTGTGCTGTGCTGTGCTGTGCTGTGCTGTGCTGTGCTGTGCTGTGCTGTGCTGCTGTGCTGTGCTATGCTGTGCTGTGCTGTGCTGTGCTGTGCTGTGCTGTGCTGTGCTGTGCTGTGCTGTGCTGTGCTGTGCTATGCTGTGCTGTGCTGTGCTGTGCTGCTGTGCTGTGCTGTGCTGTGCTGTGCTGTGCTGTGCTGTGCTGTGCTGTGCTGTGCTGTGCTGTGCTGTGCTGTGCTATGCTGTGCTGTGCTGTGCTGTGCTGCTGTGCTGTGCTGTGCTGTGCTGTGCTGTGCTGTGCTGTGCTGTGCTGCTGTGCTGTGCTGTGCTGTGCTGTGCTGTGCTGTGCTGTGCTGTGCTGTGCTGTGCTGTGCTGTGCTGTGCTGTGCTGTGCTGTGCTGTGCTGTGCTGTGCTGTGCTGTGCTGTGCTGTGCTGTGCTGTGCTGTGCTGTGCTGTGCTGCTGTGCTGTGCTGTGCTGTGCTGTGCTGTGCTGTGCTGTGCTGTGCTGTGCTGTGCTGTGCTGTGCTGTGCTGTGCTGTGCTGTGCTGTGCTGTGCTGTGCTGTGCTGTGCTGTGCTGTGCTGTGCTGTGCTGTGCTGTGCTGTGCTGTGCTGTGCTGTGCTGTGCTGTGCTGTGCTGTGCTGTGCTGTGCTGTGCTGTGCTGTGCTGCTGTGCTGTGCTGTTCTGTGCTGTGCTGTGCTGTGCTGTGCTGTGCTGTGCTGTGCTGTGCTGTGCTATGCTGTGCTGTGCTGTGCTGTGCTGCTGTGCTGTGCTGTGCTGTGCTGTGCTGTGCTGTGCTGTGCTGTGCTGTGCTGTGCTGTGCTGTGCTGTGCTGTGCTGTGCTGTGCTGTGCTGTGCTGTGCTGTGCTATGCTGTGCTATGTGTGCTGCTGTGCTGTGCTGTGCTGTGCTGTGCTGTGCTGTGCTGTGCTGTTCTGTGCTGTGCTGTGCTGTGCTGTGCTGTGCTGTGCTGTGCTGTGCTGCTGTGCTGTGCTGTGCTGTGCTGTGCTGTGCTGTGCTGTGCTGTGCTGTGCTGTGCTGTGCTGTGCTGTGCTGTGCTGTGCTGTGCTGTGCTGTGCTGTGCTGCTGTGCTGTGCTGTGCTGTGCTGTGCTGTGCTGTGCTGTGCTGTGCTGTGCTGTGCTGTGCTGTGCTGTGCTGTGCTGTGCTGTGCTGTGCTGTGCTGTGCTGTGCTGTGCTGTGCTGTGCTGCTGTGCTGTGCTGTTCTGTGCTGTGCTGTGCTGTGCTGTGCTGTGCTGTGCTGTGCTGTGCTGTGCTGTGCTGTGCTGTGCTGTGCTGTGCTGTGCTGTGCTGTGCTGTGCTGTGCTGTTCTGTGCTGTGCTGTGCTGTGCTGTGCTGTGCTGTGCTGTTCTGTGCTGTGCTGTGCTGTGCTGTGCTGTGCTGTGCTTTGCTGTGCTGTGCTGTGCTGTGCTGTGCTGCTGTGCTGTGCTGCTGTGCTGTGCTTTGCTGTGCTGTGCTGTGCTGTGCTGTGCTGTGCTGCTGTGCTGTGCTGTTCTGTGCTGTGCTGTGCTGTTCTGTGCTGTGCTGTGCTGTGCTGTGCTGTGCTGTTCTGTGCTGTGCTGTGCTGTGCTGTGCTGTGCTGTGCTGTGCTGTGCTGTGCTGTGCTGTGCTGTGCTGTGCTGTGCTGTGCTGTGCTGTTCTGTGCTGTGCTGTGCTGTTCTGTGCTGTGCTGTGCTGTGCTGTGCTGTGCTGTTCTGTGCTGTGCTGTGCTGTGCTGTGCTGTGCTGTGCTGTGCTGTGCTGTGCTGTGCTGTGCTGTGCTGTGCTGTGCTGTGCTGTGCTGTGCTGTGCTGTGCTGTGCTGTGCTTTGCTGTGCGGTGCTGTGCTGTGCTGTGCTTTGCATGCGGCTATGACTGTTTGCCTCAGGCATTGCCCTCAGGCCGTGCTGCTGCGGTGCAGGGCACACCACCTCGCATGCCGGGCACAGCACTCGTGCACCCCTCCACCATCCCCCCACCTCCTCCTCCCTCTCTCCTTCCCCCTCCGACTCCCCCTCCCCCTTCCCCTCCCCATCGCCATCCCCTGCACCTCTCCCCACGCGCGGCAGCTGGGCGAGGTGAACGGGCGGCTGCAGCAGTACAGCGCGTGGCACGACATGGTGGACTCGTGGGTCATCATCCAGGTGGCAGACGTTGATTGGGTCTTCGACTGGCGCCTGCAGGTATTGCATGGCATGCTGTGGTATGACATGGCACAGTATGGCTCATTGCATGGCATGGCCAAATGCCATGTATTCTCTTTCACGAGTCATACCTTTCTTTTCACCTGTGATGCGCATGTGTCCTCTCATTCCCCCCACGTGCTGTACCCATCCCCACCACCCCGCACCCCCCACCAGGCGGAGGTGGCGATGAGGGCCACAGGCAAGCCCGGCATGACTGATGAACAGGTGCTGCCCCCTCCGCACTGCCCCCCCTATGCACTGCCCCCCTACTCCTGCCTTTGTCTATGACCCCGTTTCCGTGCCTCTTCTCGTACATTATGTTCCTGCGTGCTCCCATGCTCTTCATTTCACCGCAATCCTGCTCCTCACGATGTCCCCACCACATGCCCCCTCTCCTCGCCATGCCCCATACCATGCATTCCCTCGTTCCCCCCCTCCTCCCCCCTCTCCTCCCCCAGGTGCATGACTTTGTGACGCGCTACATCCCGGCCTATAAGGCGTATCTGCCGGCGCTCTATGCTAGCGGGCCACAGGGCAGTCGCCCCGACCACACGCTGCGCATTGACATCGACCAGGGCCGCAACCCCGTTGGCTAGCACTGTGAACTGGAACTCCATTGTTGTAAGACTCATGATACGTCAAGTTATTTTTACAGGGTGCGCTCGAGGACCGGATATAAGTACAGTACTTCAGATAGAAGCGCATGCGCTTATGATACCGTAATCACCTTCATACTCCCTAGAGTATTATGAAAACTACAAGAATTTTTTGTGGGGGGTCTTATCATATGATTCTAAATTGAGAAAGCTTGTTTTCTTGTATTTGCAATGGCAACGTGCTTCGTTCAAAGCCCGCAGCTCTATTGACGAAGACGGAACGGAAACTCGTGTGCGATCAAGTGCACATAACATGAATGAAACTCCAATGAAGCTCTCCGCTCTCTCCGCCATCTGGCAGCCATGGATTCTGCCATGCTTGACTAGGTCAACGTCCTCGCTACAATGCTCAGCACATTCGCCTGTTTCTTTCACAAGTATCGCTTTTAACATTAACAATGGACAACCGGTCATATTTGCTGACCTTGGTTTTTCCAGTTTTAAGGCGACAAGTTTCGGGCTTTGCCAGGCATTCTCAAGGACTTTTGTTAGTCACGCTTCAGGCTATAATCCACAGTTATCAAGCAATCGCTACATATCTATTGCTACAGTTATTACCGTAAGAACGAGTACCGTACCAAGGTTGCAACTTGCAACCTTGAGAACCCAATATTTGCTTCATGAGGCACCCCACCAGATCTGCGTTAAGACCAATGGACTCAAAGGGCTCGTCGGGAAAGGGGCCAGTGAGCCTGTGGTCGAGAGCAAGAGGAGTGGGCTGTGCAGTGGAGAATTGAAGCCCGGACCGCTGAAGGATGTGCTGCACCATGTCTGACTGAGGCATAGTGATGGTGCAAGTTGCTCTATCCCTGGTAATCTTCAGGCCAAAATAGTGGCGCAGTTCACCAAGGTCAGTGCACGTGTGTCTCTTCTGCAGTTCGGAATTCACCTCAGTCACAGCAATGCTGTCTGCCGTGGCAAAGACCAGGTCATTGACATACATAAGAACAAAGAATGGTGTTGGCCCACGACGAACAAACAGCGACGGATCAGCACTAGATGGCTCAAACCCAAGGTCAAAAGGCGTGGAGCGAAGATTGACGTGCCACTCATGGGGTGCCTGGCGGAGACCGTAGACTGATCGTCTCAAGCTCCATTGGGTCCCAAGCAGGAAGGTACCAGTAAAGCCAGGAGGACGACGCAGCCAGATCTCCTCGTGTAGGCGACCCTGAAGGAAGGCAGTCGAAAAGTCGAGAGAGTGCAGCTCGTAGTCTCTCTACAGTGCAACGTGGAGTAAGACCCGATGATTGGTCATCTTCGGGGTAGGCACGAAGGTCTGAAAGAAGTCAACTCCTTCGGACTGACTGAAACCTCTAGCCACGTAGCGCGCCTTGAAGATAGGAGGAGATCCCAGTGGCCGCTTCACCTTGAAGATCCACATGCCATCGACTATGTTCGCCCTCGAAGGGGAAACCTCGTCAACCTAGGTGCCTGTGGATTCGTAGGAGGCCATCTCCGTGCCCATGGCAGCTCTCTACAGAGAGGCCCAAGGCCCTGACATTGCCTCGGCGTAAGTGCGAGGAGTCGGTATGTCAAGGGCGTCGGGGTCTCCCTCAGGGGCAAGCACCATGGCACAGAGATAAGGCGAAGTGGCTGTCAGGAACTCATGCTCAAACTGCCTGTCCTCTAGAACGCCACGGCCAAGGGCAGACTCACCCCCGACGGACAGAGGACGGGTAGGAGGAGCAGCCACCACACGGGTGGCATAGTCAAGGCAGTAAATAGCGACGAAGTCAGTGAGAGCCGAGACAGACGACAGGGAGGCAGGAGGGTTCGTAACAAGGGAGGCGAGAACACAAGAGAGAACCGGACGGTATGTGCAGTAGTAGTTAGAGATAGGAGTGGAGGACACAGCGGTGAGGGACGACCCAGGAGGGGAAGGAAGCACAGACTGAAAAGGACGAGGCAAGCTAGAACAAAATAGAACAGTACGAAGGTCAGTGACAGGGGACGAAGGACGAGCATGAGGAGGGCAGCGAGCAGCCCAAGTGTGAGGATGGGGAGCAGGAGGTGACTCAAACCGAGGACGAGGGAAAACAGCCAGAGCGGAGTCAGGAGGAGGAAACATAAGACCGTACATAGGAGGAGAATGGGAAGAAGTAGGAGGAGAGAAGGAAAACATAGGGCCCGAAGGCCAGTGATAGGGGGCGCTGACTCCCTCAGGGGCGGAGGCGGCTGTGATGGCTACTACGACTGCTGCTGCTGCTGCTCTCGCTGCTGCAAATCTTGCTGCTGCTGCTCCAGCTCTAGTCGCTCACGCTCCAACCTCTACTGCTCCACACGCTCAAGATGAAGTAGAGCCTGGTGCCGGGTCAGGTAGCGGTGGGGAGGCAGAGCGGTGTCGGCAGAAGCAGTAGCTCTAGCGCCTGTGCTGGTCGCACCACCTCCAGTGTCTCCAGCTCCAGTAGGAGGTGCACCGTCACCTCCAGACGTGGCACCTCCAGGGACAACACCTCCAACTCCAGCACCCCCAGAATCGGTAACTCCCACAGTAGCACCCTCAACTTCGACTTCACTACCCCTAGAGCTAGCACCTTCACGGCCCTCACCTCTAACACCAACACCCCCAGAGTCCGCAGTAGCCTGCGGTAGAAGCGGTGATGACTGCTGCGGTGACTGTGAGGACGAGTGATATGAGAGTACGACAACTTTGCTGGACTTGACTTGCTTGATTCTGCTTTATTATGCATTATCTAGCTTAGCTTTATTTTATCTTGCTTGCTTTTGCTTGATTTCCTAGTTTCACTGCTGAACTGTAGTTATCATAGTTTCTTCTTCTTCTTCTTCTTCTTCTTCTTCTTCTTCTTCTTCTTCTTCTTCTTCTTCTTCTTCTTCTTCTTCTTCTTCTTCTTCTTCTTCTTCTTCTTCTTCTTCTTCTTCTTCTTCTTCTTCTTCTTCTTCTTCTTCTTCTTCTTCTTCTTCTTCTTCTTCTTCTTCTTCTTCTTCTTCTTCTTCTTCTTCTTCTTCTTCTTCTTCTTCTTCTTCTTCTTCTTCTTCTTCTTCTTCTTCTTCTTCTTCTTCTTCTTCTTCTTCTTCTTCTTCTTCTTCTTCTTCTTCTTCTTCTTCTTCTTCTTCTTCTTCTTAAAGGAATGATACACTATGGAAAATGTACAAAGCATTGGCAGTCGTAATTGATAGTTTTTATAGTTATAGGTACCGAAATAGGTTGAGTGCACCGAATTCTAGGCTTTTCGGTTGCCACCGAATTGCCTGCTGCCAAATTCGGGAAGGACCCGTTCGGGACGCTTCGCGACCCACGGAACCTTCTAGTATCACCCGAGTTACTGCCTTTGTGTCGAGCCTATTTATAGCCTTGCCTTGTACCCATATGATCACAATATAATTTATGAATAGGTTCTTTCGATCCTAACACTTGTTAATCAAAGCCCGTTATACTTGGGGGCGTTTAAAACTGTCAAACACTATATATGTGTTATTGCTGTGTAGGCTATAGTGGGTTAGCCTATAGGGGGTACACAACTTTTAGGGTTTCATACTTGTACTGCAATGTTGCCTAGTTCATTCACTTCTCTCTCATTCTGACATGGTATTACGAGCCTAGGTTAGGAACCTAGGACCGTTCCTAAGGGCCCACCGTTTCCGCTCGAAGAGCCTTCGTGCGCCGTCCTTCCTAGCGCCCTCGTGCGCCTCGCTCCTAGTGCGCCCTCGTTTTCTCTTCAGCTGCCCGTGTGCAGCCGCTAGACGCCCGCGCGCGCGGCTCGTTTTCTAGGTCGCGTCGCCCGCTAGCCGCCCGCGCGCGGCCTATTTCTTAGGTGCGCGGCCCGCTAGCTGCTCGCGCCGCCCTCTCTGGCCTCGCGCGGCCCTTAGCGCGGCCCGTCAGCCGCTCGTCGACCGCCCCGTGCCGCCGCCGCGTCCCCTTAGGCCGCCGCTCGTGCTAGCCCGCCGCCCGCACGAACGCAGCAGCGGCCCACGCGCAGCTGCACCCAAGGCGCCGCCACGCACCGTCGATAGGCCCGCCGTCGCGCTGCCCTCCCTGCCCGAGCCGCGCCGCCCGAGCCGCGCCGCCCTGATCGAGCCGCGCCGCCCTGACCGAGCCGCGCCGCCCCACGTGCAGCACCTACTGTTGCAACTGCTACTCCTACTACTACTACTGTTTCTACTGCTACTGCTACTGCTACTCCTGCTCCTGCCACTATGGCCAGTCCCACTGTTCTCACCTTTGACGCCGAGGGTCGCCCGATTAAGTTCGATGTCTGGCTTGATGACCTCCACCTATTCCTCCAGATCACTGCCAAGGACGATGTCTCACTGTACGACCACACGTCGGGCGCTGCTCCCGCACCTCCCGCTACTGCTGACAGTACTGCTCACTCCCAGTGGCAGACTCGTGATGCTCACGCCCGCCTAGCCGTTCGCACTCACCTGCCAGTAGATGAGCGCGAGCACTTCGGCCAGCATAAGACCGCTAAGGAGCTGTACGACGCAGTAGTCGCGCGCTACTCCTCCCCTGCCACTGCTGCTATAGGCCGTCTCTCACTGTCCTACCTCTTCCCCGACCTGTCCGCCTTTACCACTGTAGCTGACCTCATCACCCACCTCCGTACCAGTGACCTCCGCTACCGTGCCGCACTCCCCCCAGACTTCCTCGCCAAGAACCCCCCCCCCCCCGATGTACCTCACACTGTACCACCTTGTCACGCGCCTCCCCGACTCCCTTTGCACAGTCAGGGACCACTTTCTAGCCCTCTCCCCCACTGACCTCACTATCGACCTCCTCGAGAAGGAACTCCTAGCAGCTGAGAAGAGCATTGTAGCTGTAGGTGCCTCTCGTGGCGACCCTCGTGCCCCCTTCTTTGAGGGGTGCTCTCCCGTCCCCCTCCTCCCCTCCATTGCCTCTGCTGCTGCTGTCGACTTCCTCGGAGCTGAGGGGGTCGGGGCTGCGTCTGCTCCTAGTGGGAGGCGCAAGGGCGGCAGGGGCAAGGGGGGCAGGGGTGGTAGAGGTGGAGGCGGGGGCGGCGGCGGTGGAGGGGGTGGAGGGGGCGGGGGTGGTGGAGGAGGTGGGAGTGGCGCGGGTGGTGGGGGGGTCGGTGGTGGCACAGGGGGTGGTGGAGGCGGCGGTGGTGGAGGTGGTGGGGGTGGTGGTGGCAGTAGTGGTGGCGGTGGAGCGGGTGGCGGGCGCGGTGGAGCGATACAGCGGGGGGGGTTCGGCGGTGGCCAGAGGCAGCAGCAGCAGTGTCCCAGTGAGACTCCCTCGCCCCAGCAGCTCCGTGAGTGGTACTCTCAGCTTGGGGGGTCTGGGGTTGGGGGTACTTGCCCGTACGTCATCCGCACGGGTGACCGCACTAGCCAGACTTGTGGGAGGTTTCACACAGCCCAGCGCTGCTTCTTTCGCCTCGACGACGCCTGGCGCGAGGAGTTCCCTGATGCCTTTGAGCTGCCCGCTGGGCTGATCTTCTTAAGAAGGGAATTGATATCTTCGCTCTTGATTATGATGCAAACCTTGCTGCTATGTATGCATTGACTATTAGTGTTGAGGGTGACTCCTACCTGAGTGTACCGCCCGATCCAGGTATTGAGACCGGTGAGACTGCAGCTCTAGGTGCTTGTGCATCTGCTGCTCCAGGTCCTGGTGAGGCTGCTGCCCTAGGTGCTAGTGCGTCTGCATCTGCTGGTACTGCACCTACTGAGGCACTTCACACCTTCAGACTGGACTGAGTTGCTTCCCGCTGTTTCTTTCGCGACCGCACTGCCCTAGAGCAGCTCCCTAGACCGGTTGCTGTCTCCCTAGCTGACCCCTCAGGGGGTCCGGTCCTTGCGACCTCCACCACTGCCCTCCCTTGTCCTGCTGTCCCGTCTGGCACACTGTCGGGCCTCTACCTCCCCTCGTTCTCTACAAACATGGTGGCGGGTTCCGCGCTCCAGGACGCAGGTGTTCACCAGTTCACCCCGGCCTACGAGCGTGTGACGCACTGCACGTGTGCCCGGACGGGTCGTCACCTGGCTACCTTTACTCGGCAGCCGGGGCCGGACTTGTACACACTGACCACTAAGTCCCCTCAGGTAGCTGCGTCTGCGTTTGCGCCAGGTCAGCCGTCGCCCCCCTGCTCATGTCGCTCCCTATCGCACAGGAGTGTCCTCTGGCACCACCGCCTTGGTCACCCGTCAGTGCAGCGCCTTCGCGGCATGCACTACAGGTTCCTTATCTCTGGTCTTCCCAGAGTTCTCCCTCCCCTACCACCCTCATCTGCTCCTCCCTGTCTTCCCTGTGTCGAGGGGCGGCAACGTGCAGCTCCTCACTCCTCCTCGTTCCCTCCCACAGAGGCTCCCCTGCAGACTCTTCACCTGGACGTGTGGGGCCCTGCCTGCGTCCGGGGCCAGGGCCACGAGCGGTACTTTCTACAGGTCGTCGACGACTACACGCGCTACACCACGGTCTTCCCCTAGCGTACCAAGGGTGAGGTCCCTGATGTCTTGATCCCGTGGATCCGCGCTGCTCGTCTCCAGCTCCGCCAGCGGTTCCAGTCGGACTTTCCTGTCCTACGTCTGCACTCTAACAGAGGTGGCGAGTTTTCCTCTGACATCCTGGCAGCCTACTGTGCGGAGCACGGCATCCGCCAGACGTTCACTCTCCCGGCCTCTCCGCAGCACAATGGGGTTGCTGAGCACCGCATTGGTCTTGTCATGGAGGTCGCTCATACCTCCATGATCCATGCGGCTGCCCCCCATTTCCTGTGGCAGTTTGCAGTGCAGTACGCCGCGCATCAGCTCAACCTCTGGCCCCGTGTCTCCGTTCCGGAGACCTCGCCTACCCTGCGTTGGACGGGGGAGGTTGGCGACGCGTCGGTGTTCCGAGTCTGGGGATGTCGAGCCTTTGTCCGCGATACGTCCGCGGACAAACTCTCCTCCCGTGCGGTTCCCTGTGTCTTCCTGGGCTTTGTCCCTGACGCGCCTGGCTGGCGGTTTTACCACCCCACCTCGCGCCGTGTCTTCGCCTCTCAGGACGTCACCTTTCACGAGTCGGTGCCTTACTACCGTCTCTTCCCCTACCGCACTGCCCCGCTCCCCCCCCCGCTGCTCTTCCTCACCCCAGGTGTCCAGTCGGTAGACCCCCTCCCTCCCCAGGGTGCTGCTCCCTCAGGTGTTTCCCAGGTAGACCCGGTCGAGCCTGTCGAGGTAGCTGTTGACTCTGGTCCTGTGCAAGAGACTGGGGGTGCTGAGCCTAGGGGTGCTGAGAATTTGGGTGCTGAGCCTGGAGGTGTTGCGACTGGGGGTGCTGAGCCTGGGGGTACTAAGACTGGGGGTGCTGAGACTGGGAGTGCTGAGCCTGGGGGTGCTAAGACTGGGGGTGCTGCGACTGGGGGTGCTGAGCCTGGGGGTGCTGCGACTGGGGGTGCTGAGCCTGGGGGTGCTGAGAATGGGGGTGCTGAGACTAGGGGTGCTGAGCCTGGTGGCGCTCCCTCTTCATAGCAGCTACATGAGTGGTACTCTTAGCGCTGTAGCCTCCGTCGTGGCGCTGCTGGAGCTGGGGAGTCTGCTGGAGTCGGGGCTGGTGGCCTCTCAGGTGCAGTGCCGCAGCCAGAGCCTCCCTCCCCTCAGCGGCTACGTGAGTGGTACGCTCGGAGCTGCAGCCTAAGGAGTGGAGCACCTAGCGTTGAGGTACCGCCAGCTGGAGGCCCTGCTACTGGAGGTGCTCCTGGTGCTACTGGAGGTCCTGGAGGTACTGCTGGTACTGCTGGAGGTCTTGGAGCGGCTGGAGGTGCTGCTGGTGCTTCTGGAGGTTCTGGAGCTGCAGGAGGTACTGCCGGTGCTTTTGGAGGTCCTGGAGCTGTTGGAGGTGCTGCAGGTGCTGGTTAGCCTGGAGGTTCCGGTGCTGTCTCTGCTGCTTCTGGGGGCGCTTTACGGCCACGGCCGTACTTCGTTCCGCTCCTTCAGCAGGTTCTTGGTCAGCAGCCTCCTCCTAGTCCTCCTCCCTCCTTAGAGTGTCCTCCGCCTGTCCAGTCGCAGTCCCAGCTCCCACCTACCTCGCCACTACCTGGTCCTTCTCCCTACACTGGTCCGACAGGCGGTCTTACAGGGCGTCGTGAGCCTGAGTCTCGTCCTGTGTCGCCTGTGTTGCGTCCTGTGTCACCTGCTCATGCTACTCGCACTGGTCGCCGTGGTCAGCGTGAGCGTCCCCCACCTGTGCCTGGCACACACTATATGACTGTGCATCCTTCCACTGCTCCGCAGCGTGTGCCTCTTGTCAGTAGAGCTACACTGTGAGATCCCCGATCAATCCTAGAGGGGGTTACAGGCGCGTTTGCCTGGGGGGTTATGGGCGCACTGACCCGCTACTGAAACAAGCCCTTTTATCCTAATGGTCTAGTG